TGGGAGGAGGTGGCGCTGGGGAGCGGGAGGAGGGAAGCTGGCAAGGGCAGGGTGCGGCTCATGCACGTGTTTGCCCACATGGGCTGACTCACACACACGTGCTCACGCACAACTCATCACAAAGGCCACTCACCACACACACCCCAACACCGGGGCTTGCTCACTCTCACACTAACACGCACGTGCTCACACGTGTCCACAGCAGGCACTCACGCGCGTGCACACACACACACACTGTGGCTCAACGAGCCACCCGAGAGGGGTCAGGGAGACCCTGACATGGAAGCAGAGGCAGTAAGAGACGCAGAGGTGGACAGAGAGGGCAGCCTGGAGGAGAGAGACCAGAAGTGGCAGAAGCTGGGGGTGGGGGTGGTGCGCCATGGAATGATGAGAGGGCTGGAGGGGCACAGCTGGCCAGCGAGCCCTCGATGGCCACGCTGGAACGTAAGTGGCCAGAGTTGCCCAGCATCCCGCCATGAGGTGGGCCATAGTGCCCGCGTGACTTGATTTGCAACTACTCAGGTTCCTGTTAAACTCCCTTCCTCCCAGTGACCCTGGCCTGGGCTGGTGCTGCGTGACACAGGGACCCTGAGGCTGGGGGAGGAGGAGTCATCCGTCCAGCGTGTCACCGAGCATCAGACCCGGTGCCCAGAGGGACGGCGCTGCTGTCCCAGGGGCCTCCCCGGGTGACAGGGCCCAGTGACTGCACAGGCCGGTGAGGGGACTGGGCGCACATGGGCCACTCTTGCCCTCCTGTCTACTGCGCCTTTGCTAAGAAAGGTGCTGGAAGCACAGTCCTTTCTGCACCAAGTGTCTCTTGCTTCTTCCCCATGCAGGCACTGACACACATCTGGGAGCCAGCACCCCAATGGGTTACTCGTAATTAACGGGGAGGGCTGTAGGTGGACAAATAGCCTTCTCTTCTACCCTTCCAGTGGAAAATTCTGAGGTGCCTTCTGCAGACTCCTCAGCAGGTGGCAGGGATGAGCCCCACTGCCCTGGGCAGTGACCGCTTCCTCACACTGCATTTCCCCGGGATCACTTCCCAGTGAAGCCACCTGCGTGCAGGCCCCTGCCTCGGGCTCTGCGCTCAGCCACAGCCCAGCCCCGCTCTCCAGGTGCCTGGCATCAGGGGAGCTAATGATCTTCTCTCCTCCCAGTTCTCTTTCCCCAGGACACCAGGGCTCAGCTCTGATCTATTGTTTGCTGGATTCGGGAGGTACCACATTTCCCTGAGGAGCCAAACCGCTCTTGTTTATCCAGTAACAATGAATTCTTAGCCATCACCTCGACTCTCAACCCCTGCAAACAAAGGGCACCTTCAGCGAAGAAGTATTCCATCCAGAGTGGACCCTGGGTGGGGTGAGGGTGCCCAGCTCCCTGACACTCAAGCCCACGATTCTATAACCCAGTAGCCGTTCCCGGCCTCGGGCTGCGTGGGTGCGTGTGCCTGGGTTCTGAAGAGAGGGACGGTAGCTTTTGGTGACAGCAGCGTGCGTGCCCGTGGGGCAGGCTACGCGGGTGCATAGTGAGGCGTCAGAGGCGCTGCCCGCCCTGTCCATGAGAGAGTGGTTGCTTTAACTGCCCCTGGACCGGGATATTTCAGCTTCAGTGAGCGAGGTCTTATCGGTCCCCTCGGAGAGCCAGGGCACTTGCTTCTTCGGGAAGTCACCCAGGCACGCGGGCTGTGTTGAGTGCCTACCAGCTGCCTGGCACAGAGAAGCAGCTGCAAGCGAGACAGCAGGCTCTCGGGGCCTTGCTGCCAGTTCCCGACCAGTCACGTATTTCCTGGTCTCCTGAGCAGGCCTGGAGCAGCTCGCTTGTGCTGGAAGATTCACTTAGTCCTCTCTGACTTCCTGGCAGTCCCGCTGGCCTCCTACCCACAGGGCAGGACTGTACCCATAACTGCAGAGCAGAGAGGGAAAGGCCCTGGGCCTTTCCTGCTGCTGAGCTGCTGTGGGAGGCTCCAGGCACCCCGAAGGCCAGCCCCTCAGGCCCGGAGTGTCCAGTGCAGGAACGCCCAGTTTCGGTCACTGCTGACTGCTACCTGTGCCCAGGTTCGCTTCCCAGTTCCTGTGTTGTTTGACTTGTATAGTTGTTGCTCTTGAACTAAATTATTTTCAGATGTAAGGCCTAAATCCATAGGCTCTAGTTTCTTTTTTTTTTTAAAGATTTATTTATTTGTGCATACAGAACTGGGGTACAGGCCAGAGGTGCAGGGGCGGCGAGAGGCTTCACCAGAGACAGAGTGGGGAGCAGAACAGGCAGATGGACGAAGTACACTGTTGAGGGGAGCAGCAGGCGGGTCAGGAGAAGGTCTGCTGCGCCATGTGGTCACCTCCGGGGTCAGCGGGGATCGAACTCATGCGGAAATGGCTTTAGCTTCTCAGTGCTGTGCTTTAACCCGCTGCGCCACCAGGGAGGGCCAGGCTCTAGTTTCTTAATGTTGGTGGACATGGTGTCCAGGAGGGGCTAGCAGGCCCGAGGGCAGGGGCTGGATGCTGCTCTGGCCCTGGCCGATGACTGTCGGGTGCTGGCTCTGTGCTCGCACGTGACTGCTGAGCAGATTCCCACAGGAAAGGGGAAGACAGGGAGAGGAAGGGTGAGGTCAGCGGTAAGGGGAGGAGGTTGGGGGTGTCCGTGAGGAACACTCTTCCCACAGGGGGTGTGCAGGGACAAGAGGCTGGGGCATGGGGGCAAGGGCAGGTGCAGCAGGGAACCCTCAGGGCCAGGAGTGGGGTGTGGCCCTACCAAGCAGGGAGTACACAGAACGCCAAGGGGTGACATGAACCTGAAAAGGGGGAGGAACCCACAAAGGTGCGCTGTGGGTGTCCATGTACCAAAGTCAGCCCAAACTGCCAGCGTTTTCCTTCTATTAAATACTTGTCCCTTAAAAAACATAAATCAAGCCTCCTTTAACGTCTTGTAACAATTCAAAATAAATGTTTGAACTGCAAACAAAACAATGGGGAAAGTGGAAAGCAGAAAAAGCTTGAATCAAATCACCCGCCTCCTAAGCCCAAGATTATGCCGTCAGCTTGGGGCTGAGGATCTCAGCTTCTCAGAGTCAGCATGAGGAAATGACGAGGGGGCTGTGACCCGTCCTGGGACGCACCTGTTCCCTGAGGCCAGTTCTGGGAAGGGCACTCCAGGAAGGCTTTCAGGGGCCTGAGGAAGCATGACCATTCAGGGGCTGGGTGGTGCATTTTTCTCCTCTGACCTATTTCTTCTTCTCTCCCCAGGGAGCCCAACCCCCAAACTCTGGCTGTCTTAGCAGTGTCCCCCAACCCCTCCCCCACATATTTTTGTTCCCACACAACCTCCTCTCTCTTTATCTAGATTCCTAAAACCCCTGATTGATCTTGACATGATGTTCTCTCAGCCAAAGAAAGGAAATTTATACTGTGGTGTAAGAGACTGATAGGCTTAACCACTCAAGGAACCTTGGCCTTTTTAAGGGCGCAGCGGGGTGGTGGTGGTGTGAATTCAGACCCATCTCGGGCCGCGTGGAAGCAGGGCAGCCTCGGGCTCCACGTGCCGGCGCCACCTGGGCCCCTCCTACACCCTCCAGAACGGGGCTCAGCTGCAGGCCCTTCTGAAGGCGATTCAGGCCGGCAGCTCGGGGTTTGCGCTGCCGGGTGGGCGGGGACACTAGGCCCGGGCGGGCGGGGAGACGTCCCCCCACCTCAGCTCGGCCTCTCCCCGCCCGGAAGGAAGCCGCGGCGGGGCGGGGGGCGGCAGGGGCGTCCCGCCTCACCTGCGAGAGGGCGGGGCCCGGGCTTTGCCCCTCCGGGACCTGGCGGGGAGGCGCTGATTCGCCCGGCTTCCGTCCCGCCCCTGAAGCCGGGGCCACGGGGGTCCCTCCGAGTCTCGCCGCCGCGCCCCTCCCTCGGTCCTCGCCCTTCCTCCTCGCCGGTCCCGGGCCTGGAGCGGGGAGCCTCCTCGCGCCCCCCACAAGTCCTGGGCGCGCTCGCCGAGAGGGCGGCGACTGCGGGGAGGGAGCGAGGGAGGGAGGGGCCGCCGCC